CATTTCTTCCGAGGTTCTGCTTAGACACGTCCTTGCAACCACACACTCGAAGCCGCTATTTATCTACAAGTTCTTCATAAGTTCAATGGTGATTTTGTTTATGTTCTTAAACAGTTCATAAATCAGGATTAGTATTTAGGTGTCGGTTTTACTTATAACCATTTCTGAAATATACTAGCTATCTCATCTGCTAGTTCATTCTCTTAAATATTACTATGTCTAGAAAGCCGTTATCCATATTATTCTTAAATAATAACAACGAGCTGTTTCTCAATATATTAGGTGTATTAAAAAAAAACCCATTATTTTGCCAATAGATGGCTTGAGTTATCTGTAACCCGCGTTGTATAAATTCGATCGCGGGTTACTTTAGATGCCATTAGAAAGTTGAGATTTATTACGGATTTTTGAAATTCTTTTATTGTGACTAACTTAAAATTTTATTTTTAAATTTTATTTAAAATAAAAAAAAAAAACAAAAAAAAAACCATGAGAAAATACCATAAACCTTATGAGGTTACGTATCTGAACTGAAAACAGAAGAAATGTTACTTAAATAGTATTAACTGATTTTTGCTGTTAGTCTATAATTTATGATGATAGGTTGTGATGTGGATTATAATAGTAGAGAGTAAAAAAGACATATTTTAAACAAATGTTTTAGTTTTGATTCACTTAAGCTTTTAATAACGAGAGTAATTCAATATTTAATGAAAACGGGATAAACATTTGTAGCTTAACTGCACTATCTGCTTTAAAAAAGTTTAAAATATCTGACTTGGAATATAAGGCATTATGGAATATAATATGGAATATAAGGCATATCATAACTTGGAATATAAGGTATTATTATTGTAACGCAATGTTTTCATAAAGGTTTGATAGTTGGTCTTGAATATTATCCATATACATTTTCGTCCAATGTTAATGTTTTTAATTTTTAAATAATATTACTAATAATATTTTAAGATCGCTTAACTGCTCAAAAGTATACACTAAAATTGGGGTCGCTTAACATAATACGAAGAACACCGAAAAAAAAATGAAAGTGAAAATTTAGTCTATTCAGTAAACTGAATTTCCAGTTGTACGAACAAGTTAATATATCAAATTTATAAGTAGGCTACATATTAGATATTCTACTATATAATATAATAAAATATGTAATAGGAATTAGCTTGCCGAAAACAAAGAATATTAGGAATTCTCCTGATGGGGGCAAAAGGGCATTTGCCGAAATACGTATAGCAATATACAAAATAATACAATCGAAATAAAAGTTAAAATCCTAAAACACAAGACCGACTTTAAGACAAAGAATAGTTGACAAGACCTGATAATTCAGAGAACAATTCTGTACAGTTCTAATCTCTCTAAAGGAAGCTATGACTAAGGAATGGCAAATATATACGTCAAATTTAAGCCCGTGACGGTACAAGTTAAAATTTAGTTCGCTAATGCTACATGGGGTCTACCACCTGAGCGGTAGAATTGTCTAGGCATTATTTTTTATAATTGTTACTTATTTCGCTGAAGGCAAAAGAGTCTTTCTAGAATACGACTAGAAACCCTTCATTTCAAGGTATTAAAATTAAAATAGACTATTTATAGTCACATATGGAGACTATTCAAATCTCAAATAAAGACTTGACTGGCAATAAAATCAAGCTTTTGCTGAATTAAGAAAATGCAATGTAGTGATAAATAGATAAATATGAGAAATTTCATTTGTTTATTTTTTTTGTTGTGTTATAACATTATTTTACATTTGTTTAATGAATTTTAGAATCAAATAGACTGCGATTATAATAAAAAAATAGTATAAATCCCTGAAATAATCTGTAAATTGCACAAAAAATGTAATATGTGAGCTTTTATAAAAGATATTTTAATATTGTTGAATTCTCATTTCACCCTATTTGAACAACAAAAAAAAAACTATATCTAGAAAAAACTATCAAAAACAATTTCAAATACAAAAACTATATATCAATTTAATTAGTTCCTTAAAACACATAGGTGAAAAACCATTCGAATCGCTTATGGTACTCAATTATTTATTAAAATCAGAATTGCTTAAGCTGATCAGTAACACACTACTTTTATTAAAAAACAATTTGAAGCTAATGAGAATTATATTTGAATTTGTATTAAAATTTGAATTTACATTGTAAAAACAACACACTAATCGCTTACACATCCAAATATTAAGCACTCATATATTTATTAAAATCGAGATTGCTTGGAATTTAGTACTTTACTATCAAAAACAATTTTAAACACATAAAAACTATACATCAATTTAGTTGGTTCCTTAAAACACATAGGTGAAAAACCATTCGAATCGCTAATGGTATTCAATTATTTATTAAAATCACAATTGCTCAAACTGATCAGTAATACACTATTTTTATTAAAAAACAATTTGAAGCTAATGAGAATTATATTTGAATTTGTATTAAGATTTCAATTTACATCTTAAAAAAAAAATCATACAAATAGCTTACGCATCCAAATATTTATTAAAATTACAATTCTTCTACTCAAATAATTATATGCAGCATAATTTATGTAAAAAAATTTTAAGCAAATGAAAACTGTATATCAACTTTCCACAGGCGAAAAGCCATTTAAATGTGAAACACAAATATTTCTACGAATTTATTAAAATAAGAATGAATGCTATTAATAACATAGTATCTTTATAGTCAGCATAACATGAACTCATTGAGAATTATAAAATAATATTAATGAAAAATAGCTTTTTCATTATGTTTTTCACTTTTTCACTATGTTTTTCACTTTTTCACTATAATAAACTGAAATAAATTCAGTTTAAATAATAAATTATTTATAATCATATGGTATATGTAGTGAATATTTTTAAAATAATTAAATTATAATTCCAGATGAGAGTTTTCTATTGTTTTGCATAAAAATATATTTATAAAAATATCTTTAGTGTTTATTGTTCTTATATATGCTTTATATATACATATATTGCTTAATAATATTTTACACCTAAAATCTTTATTTTTTTGAGACTGTGGGAAGTGATAGTGATAAAGTATATGCAATTAGGTGATTACTTCGTAGCGCTTCAAAAAACTTTTTGGAGAGAATAAAATATTGTTCAGTTTTATAGTAAGAATAACATCCAGCTATTTACCCTAGGTTGATGGTGTAGCTTTGACTATTTAATCTTAATATAAAATTTAAAATTTTATATTTGTTGGTAAATACAAGAGCTACATAACGTATTTAATTAATACCAACAATTCTAATTCATTTACAATTCTGTTCATGTCTTCATTTTTTTATTGTGAGTTGAATTAAACAAATATTTCGACTTAAGGCTTGAAAGGTCCTTTGATTAATTTAGTGCACAAAAAGAATCTCTAAATACCGTATGAACTTTTTCATGATATTTGTAATGCACTTGACTTATACGATTTATGTCTGATGGACACAGAGCAACAGGCAGGCAGATTTGCTAAATATTTCCAGCATTCGCCATGAAAATCAATTAAAATCTTCTACTTAATAAAACATCAACAGAAACTCACTTTTCGAAGTACGGAGGAAAAGTTCGCTTAAGCCGATACACACAACTTAATCAAATGTCTGCAATCTGATAGATAATAATTGGAATGGCTTACTTCATTCATTCTAGTTAGTTTCTTTGAATAAAATAGCCGCCACCAATCTATGAAGCTAACACCAATTCGTGTGATGGATGTACAGAAATCTACAAGAAGTATACTTCCAATCAGTGCAATGGCAAAAATTAGTATTGAAACGAAAACAAATCGCTCAATACGATTTATACTAACAACAAATATTATTTTTCCATGTCAGTTACGTACCAGAGAAGCAAGAAAATAATTGTCTACACATAACTCCACGGCGAGAGAGCTCTTAATACACTCCAACTACCTATGGTATTTTTCCTATGCCCAAGGGATGCATTACCTTATGTTAGATTCGCAAAACTTTTATTTGAGCGATAATATCAGCGCATTATTTCAGTATTTCACTTAATTTTTGTTAGTAAAGTCCGCTTAGTAAAAATGTTGGAAAAGTAGGAAATGTAATAAAAGCAGTATGGGGCGCCAGTGCGTAAGACAAGATTTCTAATGAACTCAATCAAAAATCGATTTGCTTTCGATATTATTGGAGTATAAAGTTCAAATGCAAACATAAAGCTATCTATCAAAATTGACGAGCCGAACATCAAATGGAATTTATGATATAAATTGCCAGTGCTCTAAGTGGTTACGAGGAAATGTCCAGATTCTGCTCCTTTCTGTTATTCATTTGCGATAATTCGAACACTCAGTGTGCGTCATATGTGAAGTAACTCATTTGAAAAGGAAAAGGAATTATTAATAATCGCTGGGGAATTTCGGTTTTGTGATTTCAAATCACGGCTGACGCATTTGCATTGAAATTTATTCATGCTGTGATGTTTAAAAGACTTCATGATTTAATTGTAGTAAATAAAGGAGCATGTGTGATTTGTGATATGTCAGGAATCATAAGAAAAATCGCAATTTTTTATATAATCGCAATTTCAAACAAAAAGTTATTAAAAACCATTAACTACTCTCTGTGAATAATAAGCCACTGTATGGTGACAGATAACCCCATTTAACCTCATTAACAGCCATATATTTACTATTAAATTTAAATATAACGACTATGTGTAACACAGTTTTTAAATAAAAAACAAGTTTAAAAAAATTTTTAAAATATTGGATATATACAAAACAATTTCGTCTCAGAATAAAGGTGTCATTTATCATATCTGCATTTCAATAAAAATTACTACTATTTCAGAAATTAGTATACGGTATAGTTATGATTTATTCAATGTGAGCTGAGTTCGGATACAGATTTGTTCCGACAATTTTTTAATAAAATTTTATATTTTATTTTTTATATCATGTTTTATGAAAACAATTAGAACCGATTAGATTATCAACATTTTCAGAAAGCCTTACTCCACCCCAGATTTAATTGCTACCCTATTAAATATCGCAATTAGCATAATTTAATTTTATTATATTAAAATATTTAAGCGTAACTGGTGTAGTTCATCAGGGATCCCAACTAAATCATTTTCATTAGTCATTAGTCGTCGTTTTCCATAAATTAGCAATTTCTGGTTTTGACGTCTGTACCACTTCTTGTCAGTGCTTTATCAGCTTGGAATATTAGCAACAGTTGAGCTGCCCACGGCTTTTTTCAGAAAACGATTACATACTATTTTCAAATCACTATTATAAACTCACAATAACTTTTGTCTTCTAGAACAATGCTTTAATTTGGCTGTTTATAATCAGTGTCAGCAGATCGTACATATATGACTAGCTTAAAGTTAGCCCTTAGCGCTGTACTTTTCATCGTTGCACGGTCTACAGTATCACTATTTTTTTGTTCATGCATAAATGATGCTCACTTATCAATCCAAATGGTCTTGAGTTGATATAACCAAAAAAATCCAAGTTTACTCATTGACGCAATTATTAGAGTACAAAAAATTTAATAGATTCATAAAACCACAATTCAAGTTCATTTTTTGACGCAATCGATATTGTTCACACTTCTACACCGTAATATAATGTAGAAAAAATATATCATTTCAGTATCTTCAGCCAAAGTGGTAGAGATAGCATCCGGCAACATACACCTCCTTTCCTTACCTCCTTAATTTGAAAGAATATTTCTGTACAATGATCTATTATGCATTCAGCATGCATCGTAGATAAATATATAAAAAGTTATAAATACTTCAAAACAAAATATTATTTATATGAAATATATAATTAGTGAAATGTAAAAATTTGGCATGTTTCTACTGCCGATTACTACTGCTCCAAATAAACTTCCTATTCTAATTTTGCTACTCTAGGGATGACAATGCAGCAGGAGTACTATCCTTTTTCGCTCTACTATTACCACTGAATAAGTCTTATTTGTACTTTTTAAAACCATTTCATAAATCACAATTAAGTTATAAATTTGATTTTAAATATAGCGCAGTTATACCAGTTAATATTATTCCATGCAGTTTTATGTACCGTGCCAATCGTCCTTGTCCATTTACGGTTGGCTTGAGTTTTGCTCGAGTAGAAGTTGATAGAACGAAACTCTATGTACCTAAATTGCTTATATATGATTTAAAATATATAATTTGATTAAAGTGAAAAAATAAAATAATATCCGAAGTGTAAAACATATGAATATAAAGCAAAAACAACGAATATTAAAATTGATCTTAGTTTGAATAATGTAAACGCTGAACTAATATATCGAAACTTATTAATCCAATGTCTTTAAGGAGAAACAAAGTGAAACATGAAGTACACATTTTTTTTCGTTCACAAAGTAGAGAATATAATTTTAAAAATAATGTATAGTTTATATATATATATATGCTATATATGTATATAACATATATAGAATTAATTCTTAAACTGCCCCAACCTAACGCTATTCATTAATTTCAAATAAAATAATTATATTTTTATTGTTTGTAAATTCCAATTAAAATTTCTTTATATAAGCATAATATGTACTCTTCAATATTTATTTAAAATTACCAAAATTAATTACTCTTTAAAATAATAAATATTGTTTTTAATCGAAACACAGCGTATACGCGAGTAAAAATAATTTAATAATAACAAGAACATAATTTTCCGCAAGAAATTAAACAAAACGCATAATTAATTTTGGAACTACCCATTAAGATAGGGACTAAATTTTATTTGTAGATTTCGGAAGCGCATAATAAGCGATTAAAACATCTTTAATCAGGCGATTATCGCAGCAGGCGATTCGCATCGCTTTTGTTACTTACTGAATATACTCATATAAATGATTATGTTAATGCATTACCTTATAAAACAAACAAATAGGCAGGCAGACAGGCAGACAAACAGACAGACAAACAGACAGACAGTCAGAGAGATAGACATACAGACGGACCCACAAACGAATAGATAGAAGATACAAGCAGAAGAGATATGTGTAAATAATACGCGTGAAGACTGTAGCGAACAAGCGTTTCTGGTACATTACAGGGCATGCTGCATTTGCACCTTCTGCTCGGTATGTGGTCATTATGAATTTCAAAATATGAAGTTCCGAACACAGGAAATTTAATTCAATTAGGCATCTTAGAAGACTGCATGCTAACAAGATCTGAACGTTTATGAATCGCTTTAATTGAACAAGAAAAAAAGGAATAAATTCACTTAGAATTAAAGTGATATATTGGGGAATCAATTGTGTGAAGGCGCTAACGACGCCGCACAGCACTGGAAGCAAGCAAACCCGCGAAGTAGGTAAATGGAATAATTTTTGGAAAAGATTTTATTTTAAGTTGTATCCATTTATAAATAAATAAAGACATTAATTAATTTGTATAAATAAATAATTGGAATTTCTAAAAACTTTTTATCATTATTATGTGCTTCGATAAACAAGTAAATAACTGTCGTTTTATGTAAACCATATATATATAATCAAAGATATGGCATGACAAAAAATAGTTTTCAAATAACTCTAAGATAAGTAAAAGATAGATTAGCTTAAAATTTTAAATTAATTTCATTAAAAGGATTTCGATCATTACTTAAGAAAATCAAAACTAAACAGTTTTAATACACAAGTCTCAAGTTACAGTGTCACTAATTGTTACAGTCTTCCAATTCCAACAAGCACAATAGTATTAACCTCTAAAACGGACATCTAAATTAGTGCTAAAAATTATAGGAGCAGCGCAAATCTTAATACTGTACGGAAAATTGTAAAATAGTTCATGGATCAATAAAAAAAATTCCATATACCGCAAACGACATGATTTCCTCTATAACAGTTTTTGGATGATGTCATTTTTCTCAAAACTATAGTCGAACAATCTGTAAAATGGAGATTTTTTTAAGGATCCTTTTAAAACTTCTTAAACCAAAAGGCAAATAAACACATATTGAGTTCCCGAAAATATCATTTTACCAATAAAAATCCTCTAGAATAATGCATATTGTTTCGTTCGAGTTTATCTCTTTTTTCTTTTAAATCAATAAATATATCGACAAGGCAGTACACTGTCACCTCTGCTTTTGATTTTCTTTTGCTGCTTAAGAAAACAATATACGTACAAACAAAAGTACATTCACTAAGGTTCAATTGAGGTCTTAAAAGTTCTAGAATAAGCGATCAATCACAACCGCAAGATTTAAAAACAATTTTATAAAAACCACACTTGCACATCTTTAAAGGTCTGAAAACAAAGAAATGTCTAGCCAAGGTAAACACATATACAGCTTAACAATCTTACTTTTATTATAATGAAGCACACGTTTAAATGTGTTAAACAGATTAAAAAACTAAATCACGGCTACTCTAACATTAGGCGTACAGTCAAATCTCCATAGCTCGCAGTACTATTTTGCAAAAAAAAGATTCGACATGTGAATATTTTGAGCTAAAGAGTTTTTTTGTAATTGTATGTTATTTATTCTCTGAACCCTGTTGCACTATATTTAGTACAAGTTATAGTTATGGAAGTTGGACTTGAATTTTCAACATGGAAGAATCAGTTCTCATATCTGGATACGAAAAATGTAAAGCTACCTTATATATTATAAATTATATAATATATAATGTATAATATATATTACATATTAAATTAAATAAATATACATTGTGACCGAAAAGCTTCCGGAAATTTTAAATAAAACGCAAAATTCTTAATCTTCATCAATATTTATTTTATCTCCTTCAAAATATGCTCCATTAGAAGCGATACACAAATGCCAACGTTTCTTCCAATCATCAAAACATTTTTTATAGGCGCTTTCCGGTATGGCTTTGAGTTCCCTCTGCGAATTCTGTTTTACGTCTTATATGGATTCAAAACGCGTTCCTCTGAGTGGTAATTTGAGGTTGGGAAACAGGAAAAAGTCACACGGTGCAAGATCAGGTGAATACGGTGGCTGTTCGATGGTATTTATTGAATGTTTGGCCTTAAAATCGTTGATAATGTTGAACAAAGCGAGGAGAATCGGAAAAAGCCAGGAATTATCCATACACAAATAGGCCACCAAAAGCAAAGAGCTCTCACGACCGATGCCTAGCTCTCGTGCTATCTCTCTAACACTCACATGAGGATTTTGGAACACGATTTCCTTTGCCTTTTCAATGTTTTCGTCGGTGGTAGAGGCCGAAGGTCGTCCAGAACGCGGCATGTCTTCGACGGTCGTACGACAGTCCTGAAAGGCTTTGTACCACTCATAAACTTGAGTTTTCGATAAAACTGATTCCCCATAAGCCTTTTGTAGCATTCGCAACGATTCTGCACACGAAATTTCGTTCGAAAAACAAAATTTGATGCAAACTCTTTGTTCAATATTTTTTTCCATTGTTTTTTTCGCAACGCACTACTGAGGTGAACTGGTTTCAACAGCTGCCGTAAACGAACTGTCTGACAGATCGCGCTCATTTTTGGCATAGTAATTAAGGACAGTGCTGCCAAACTACATAAACTTAAAATATCGAAAAATATACAGCGCGCGAATTTTAAATGAGAACTTCCGAAAACCTTTCGGTCACAATGTAT